AAATGGTTGAAATGGTAAATTTTATGTTATGTACATTTTGCCATAATGAAAAAAGCACTAAAAATTATTTTTATAAAATTTCAAATGAGAAAAATAAAATCTCCAAGTAATGCTGGAGAAAGAGAGAGAGAGAGAGAGAGATCTATGAATCAGGAGGGGCCCCTGCTGGAGTCAAATTCAGGAGCCTATAGTGGGTAGACCAGGTTTGCAGCCCTCATAAATGGTCCCTGCATAGCCAGGCTCACGGTCTCTGGATGTGCCTCAGGTTATCCTCTGGCCTGCTCAAGACTGCTGCTGCTCATTTCTTTGTTCATTCTAACTGAGATGATTAACATGAACACTCAAGGTTTTATATACCACTATCCTTAGAGTCTATTCCACCAGGCAGGGTACCTTAAAAGAGGTTTCTTTGCAACTCTGGGAAAGAAACATTATTCAAGCACTCAGTGGCAGACTGTTCTCCAAAGAGGACCACAACTGTTATCTCCCATCTTGCATTATTTCTGCAATGAGACCCTCTTGTCAGGAGACGGGGTCTATTTCTCTCTCCTTGAATCCAAGACGGCAGAAGTGACATTGTGTGGTTTTGAGGCTAGCCTCCAAGCTGCAGTGTTATTTCTGCTATTTTGCTGTCTGGAAGAGCCAGCTGCCATGAGGTAAGGAAGTTAGAGATAAAATACTGAGTGATGAGGTAGCTGGCATGTGCAATGAAAGAGGCCATGTTGGGGAGCTGAACATGTGTTATGTGAGTGAAGCTTCTTGGACCTTCCAGCTCAGCCTCACCGCCATTCAACCACAACTTCATGGACACCCCAGCTGACCCCAGCTGGAACAGAAGAACCAGCCAACCAGGCCCTGCCCAGACATTTGACCCACAGAACTTTCAGAAATAAATAAGCCATTGCTGTTTTAGGTTACTGAATTTTGAAATGGTTTGATTTGCATCAAGAGACAACCAAAACCCCATCTTCTACCAAATTAAAAACCAGAACATATAATTGTATTAAGAGCATTCTAGTATATCCACTCCAGTTTGTATTCATTGTAATAATATTAAAATAAATCAAAAAGAAAGAAATCCACCTACAAATCCACCATTCCAATGCTTTCTCTATTTCCACTTATCTGTACACTGCTTATTAGTTCATGATAGGCATACATAGTGAAACAATGTGGTGTTTATTGAGGACATAACGTTTTGCAGCTTTTCCCTCTCTTAGCATTGTATTTTTCATTCATACATTCAACAAGCATTTATTGAGATCTATGTTTATGTCAGGCACTGAGGATTTAGAGCTAAATGACTACATACTTTTTTCCCCATATTTTTAGTAATTTACATAATAATTCCTGTGAAATTGCTCTTTGAATCAAACCAAATTGATCCAGGTGTTTCTTTTCTTGTCTATTTATACTTTTAGCTCTGAAGAATTTGTGGTAATTTACAATATGACCTATAGTATAAACCATAAAATTAAAATTAAAATTATCAGGAAAGGAAAATAAATATGCCATGAACCTAGTCTAATAGAATTACTGTAATTGTACATGTAGCTCTGAGATTTCAGGCAAGGAAAAAGAAAACAGTGAAGCAATCATTCTCATTGCTTGATTTAAAGCAAGTTCATCATTCTTCTAATGGGGATGGAGATCCTGACTTCCCCACTCAGGAGGGGCTGACAGTGGGTCAGAGGTGAGGAGGTGGAGATGCATAGGTAGAGGAGGGCCAGCCCTTTCCAGGAACTTGGCTGGGAGGAAAGTAGAGAGTGTTGAACCTAGGTAGGGGCAATGGGATGTTGGTGGGAAAATTCTGTAGAGAGGCAGAAATCGAGGATTCAGGGGAGAGAGGGTCTGACTCATGGGTAGGGTCTCTTGGAAGGTCCAGAGATGGTATCTGGGACTCATGTGGAAAATGAGGGAGTTTCCTGGCTGGCAATTTCTGGGTTTTTTTTTTTTTTTTCAATTTAAGTGACATGAGAGTTTAGGAGAGTGGTGTTGGGGGTTTGAGAAGAATGGGAAAGATATCAGATACTCCTTGTTGAATCTGCTGATAGACTATTGGGGATCTGAATCCAGGAAGAGACAGAAGGCAAAGGACAGATCATGACATGAATATCACCAGCGCCCTGGATCCTGGCCCCATACAAACTCTCCCTTCTACACTATAGGAGACTTGACCTGAAGGTTCTTCTACACCTGCTTTTCTGAGAGTGATGATTCGTAGAGGCTGTGAAGACAGGCAGGTGGCATAGCCAATGGGGCAGCTAGCTGGGAGATTCTAAAGAGTTGGCCAGGAAGGAAAGGGTTCCCGTTGAGCACCAGGTTTTACATGGGAGAGGACAGAAGAAACAGGGCTTCAGAGCTGTGGCAGCAGAAGCAGGGACCAACCACCTGGATGGATGGTCCAGACAGGCTCCCCTCCTCCAGCTGCTGCAGTGAGAACCTGTGTTTTTAGTCCCCACTCAACACATGTTACTGGAGATCTGATGTTTTAATTTTGAGCTGACTGGGATTTGGCTACCAAGCTGTCTCCAAAGGAAGAAGAGCAAAGATCTGTGGGCCTGGATACCAACTGTTTTGTGTCCCGTGAGAGTTGGCAGGTGAGAGTTCGGGGACCCACCACGGCCTTCCTCCTTTCTTCCCTGACACCTCTGGGCCATGCACTTGTGAAGCAGGTGAAGTCCAAAGTTCAGGCTGTCGAGTTAGACACTCTGGTTTCTAATCCTGGCACCTCTGTGCACTTGGCTGTGTAATAATCATGAAGGAGTTCCTTAAGCATTCTAAATCTCAGCTTTCTTGTCTGGAAATTGAGAATATTTATCTCATACGGTTGTTCTAAGGAATAAATGAGATAATGAACTGCATAACTGTCCACTTAAAGCAGAGTGCCTAGCACATAGTTGAGTGCCCAGTATATGCATTGTTCCTCCACTGTCCCATCTACCCCTTTGGCTCTTCTCCTCGATCAGCCACTGCCCTTGGTAGGCTGACTGGGTAGTCCTGTATCCATCAGCTTACTCTGGAGCCTGCCTCTCATGATTCCTATGTATGGGCTGTTTGAATGATACTGAATGAATGACGTGACCTGATACTTGGGAGTAATTTAGAAATATTGCTGAGTCTCAGGCACCTTTGAAGGAGACTTTTCAGCATTAGCTGTGACAATTTTTCAATAAAAACCCTAAGCATCTTAAAATGTTTGTTTATTTATCTAGAGAAGGGGAGATAGAGAGAGTGAGAGAGTGAGTGTGGGAGAGGGGCAGAAGGAGGGAGAGAAAGAGAATCCCAAGCAGGTTCTGCCCCCAGTGCAGAGCCTGACACCCTGCTCGATCTCATGACCCTGAGATCATGACCTGAGCCGAAATCAAGGGTTAGACATTTAACCGACTGAGTCATCCAGGTGCCCACAAAGCATTTAAAAAGCCCTCAGAAAATAACAAGTGTTGGCAAGGATGTGGGAAACCTGGAACACTTATGTATTGCTAGTAGGTATGTAGATGGCACAAGAGCTAAGAAAAACATTGTGATCATTCATCAAAAAAGTTAAACATAGATTTACTATGTTATGTAGCAATTCTGCTTCTTATTATATATTCACAAGAAGTGATTGTGGAAACTCAAACATATTTGTACACCCATCTTCATAGCTGCTTTATTCACAGCAGCCAAAAACTGGAAATAACCCAAATGTCCATCAATGAATGAATATACAAACATGTAGTATATCCATACGGTGGAATATTATTCAGCCATTAAAAGGAAGGACAACTTGACACACGCTACATGAATGAGACTTGAAGACATTATGCTAAGTGAAATAAGCCAGACACAAAAGGATAAATATGGTATGGTTTCTCTTAGAGGAGGTTCCCAGGATATTCAAACTCAGAGAGACAGAAAGTAGAGTGGTGATTTCCAGGGAGTGGGAAAGGGTGGGGGGCAAAGGGGGGTTACTGTTTAGGGTCAGAGCTTCAGTTTAGGAAGATGAAAAAGTTCTGGGGTGGATGGTGGTGATGGTTGCACAACAGTGCAAATGTGCTTAATGCCACAGAAGTGTACGCTTAAAAATTGTCACAATGGTAGATTTTGTGTTGTGTTAATTTCATCACAATAAAAAAAAGACAAATTTGTTAACTACTCTAAACCTTAAGTTAAATGACTGGTCACTGGTCATGTGCAAGAACATATGTAAGAGAGGACAAGCACCGACAATTACCAAAATAAAACTAATAAAAATATTTACCATGTTTTACCCTTCTGTAAAGGTAATGTATCTAAACCACTGGCCCGGGGCTTGCCATATATAAGCAGTCAATAAGTGGCCAGTGTTTTTATCATCATTACTGCTATTACTTTTTGTATTATTATTTATGTTATTACTGTTTATTATTATTATAATTATTTTAAATAAAGTATGATGGTAGGTACCCTCTGAAGAGTCGTGGATGGAACAGAAGTCATGTGCAAGAAAGGAAAGGAAATATTCTTTCTATTCCTTTTCTCTGTAGTCTTAGGAAATCTCCTGGCAAAGATACAAAGTGTAGAGATTGCCATAGAGCTATTAACAGCCAGACACACCTGGCTGTTAAATTGTTAAATTCATTGATTCGTTCCACCCTTCCTTTGTTCATTTATCAAGTTTCATTAGGTCCTTAGATGTAATCATCTATACTGGATGACATGGGTATTGTAAATGTAGTAAAGTTTGATCCCTGATCTCCAGAAAGCTTATAATCTAGTAGGAGAGGTGAGACATGTAATTGTGGTGCTTTTGGGCATGTCCTGAGTGCACAGCCTTTATCACAGGCTGAAACGTGGAGAGAGGAATAACCACAGCATGGGGGTACAAATACTGCATGTGTGTAAAGATATGAGACTACCTGCTGGTGGTGGATCTAAAACCTGAGCCAATCAATCCCTTGGATGTACTTAGGGTTCTTGGCACCTACTCTCACGTTCTGACCCTGTGTTCTTCTCTTTCCATTCTTGCCTTTCCTGAGGTGCCATGAGGAGTTCTCCTGGTCTCGGCTTCCATGGTCCGTTGAGAGTCTGAAGAGATGGCTGGAGCAGCAGTAGCTGGACTGATCCCTGTGCTACACTCGGTGGCCAGTGACAAGTCCGGCTACTATATCGGGCGGCAGCTGTGGTTTGGCTTCATTGCTGCGTACGGAGTGGTGGTGTACATGGTCCGCATACCCTGGGCCTCCGTCCATGAAGATTTCTGGTGCCACGGCAACATCACTGATCCTTGTTTGATTGAGTGTTTTGAAAAACATTTCAGCAGTCCTGTAGTGGGAACTTGGTACTTCTTTTTCTTCATTTTCTTGGCCCTCTTCTTCCTCATGGAATTCTTCATGGCTCAGATTTGGCACAAGCAGATCAAAGTCAAGTCAGTGGAATCAGTGGCAAGTGAAATTGAGGAGGGCTTCATGGTGGGGATCCAGGAACATGTCCCTTCCCTGAAGAAGTCCATCCTGAACTTCCACCAGGAGAAGATGCTTTTGCTTTTGTACCTTCTTTACTTTCTCCTGCAGGTTGGTGCACAATGCGTGTTTTTATTCCTTCTCATGTGCCAACACCTGCCCCTGGTGAACCAAACCATCATTCACTGCAGCACCGAGAGCCGCCCTGGGCCCTATTTCTGCCTGATCAGGGGTATTATGGAGAAGCAAATGTCCATCTACATTCTCATCACCTTGTCCTTCATGATCATCCTCTTCTGCTCAGGTTTCTTCATATACAGCATCCATCATTACCTGTTAAAAGGGCTTGCCAGTGCTAAGTTTTGGCTTGACTAATTTTGGAAGATTTTATGGAGAGTCTTTCCTCCCTTACACTAGGAAGTTTGTGTTCCTTTAAATATTGTGTCTGCGGCAGGGCTTCCTCCTGCTAACTTTCTTTGCTTTAGTCCTTCATGAAATAAACCTTCGTTGTTCTGTTTCCTTCCTCTACAACCAGGCTCAGATTGTCTGTGGAGTGAGTGGTACACGCTTGATAACATTTCAGAGTTTTCTCAAATGTGCCATCTAATTTGGTCCTCCTCAGAAGCCTGTGGCATTGAGCTTCATTCTTCCAGTATCTTCAAATCAGGAAGAGTTGTCATAGTCTTAGAACTAAGAGCTTTAAAGATTCAGGGGAGATTGGTTGACTTGTGCTCTGGCCTCCCCAGTTTGGGTTGTAAATACAGAGAAGGTAGTTCTTCTCCACAAGGAAATTCTTAGCTGGAATGGCAGAGAGGGTTCCTCAAGCTCCTAGGTGTGGACCCAGTCTGCCACCTTACTTGAGTCTCCAGTGAGGACTGAATCAATCTGGATGAATCCCCCTGGGGAGACAATGAGTATGGCTGAGGTAGGAATGAGGTTTGGTGGAAGCAGTGCACTGGGTTTCCCTGTGTCCAGAATCTTGCCTCACTCCAAGACCTGACCTGTCTATCTTGAGTTATGTTGAAACCCAGCTCAACTCTACACAGAGGTTACTTCTCAACCATACTTTGGGCTCCCTGCTGCGTCCTGTTGTCTGCAAACCCAAAGTGGTTTGACCAGATATGGCTAAAGCTCTTCACATCTGGGGGAGGCAAAGATGGGGATCAGAGTGAATCTGTTACAGAGAAGGTATGGCTAGTTACCTCATCCTGTGCTAGACAGTCACCCCCAGAAGTAATTTGAGTGACCATCCTGTGCCCGAGGCTTAGGCTCCCTCCAGGTACTTGGTGTAAGATGTGGAACAGAGGGCAGTGCCAAGAGCCCCACCTTTTTGGGTAAAGTCTGTCTTGTCCAAGCAAGCATGATGTTCCCAAATAACTTAGTTGAATGTAGTTGGAATTTTCCTGAGGCCGACTGTGGCAGACAGATCTCAAAGTGGCCCCTAATGATTTTCTGCCTCCTGGCATCCATGTCTTTGTATGATCCCTCCTTTATGAATGCAGGCAGGAACTGTGACTTGCTTCTAACCAAAAGATGTTACTCCTGTGATTGTGTCATATTATATATAACTCCATTTAGCAGGTTAGGACAAGACTTTCCCTTGCTGGCTTTGAAGAGGCATGCATGACAAGGAATTGCAGGCAGCCTCTTAGAGCTGAGAGTGGCCCCCAGCTGACTGCCAGCAGAAAATGGGGTCCTCAGTCCTACAACTGCAAAGGAATTAAATTCTGCCCACAACTTGAATGAACTTTGAAGTGTATTCCTCTCCAGTCAAGCCTCCAGATGAGAATGTAGCCCAGCTTACCCCTAGATTGAAGTTTTGTGAAACCATGAGCAGAGGACCCATGCCTGGGCTCCTAACCCACGGAAACTGTGAGATAATATATGCATGCTGTTTTAAGCTGCTCAGTGTGTGGAGATTTGTTACACAGCAATAGAAAACAAACACACTGACTTCAGGGGCCCCACAGTGGTACAAGAGCCAGCAGAGGCTGGGTGGTCTCAGCATGGGTGCATCTGTGGGGGCAGCTTTTCTTCTATCCCAGGAAATAATTCTCCTTTGCTTTCTCCCAGCAACTGTTCTAGTCACAGTTTAAGGGGCTTGTATAAATTTTAGCAGAGAGTGTCAGAGACTGAGGTGACTGCTGCTTCTGTCCCTTCTGCCTAGCCAGCCCTGGGAAGATTCTCACCGTCCTGAATGATCCATCTTGTTCTGCACTGGTCTCAGCAAAGTGGAATCTGAGATCCCAGCACCATTTGTTGCACACACAAATAAATATGTGATCTTGCTGGGCTCACACAGCTCCCGCCAGACACAAAGCTTGGCAGTTGGGGCTCCTAGATGCCACCTTTGACTCTCATCCCAGGCTGGGCACCTTTGTGTACAGCTGTGTGCAGAGGCCTCTGAAGCCCCATTTTGAAGCTTAGCTGAGGTTGTGGGGAGACCACACCTTGTGGGTAAGGTTTTACCCAGCACATACTTGGAGTTGTGTAGAAGACGGGTTACCTTTTAGAACTGTGAAAGGTTTCAGGGGTGAGTCAGAGCCAAGTGTTGCTGTATACCAGTGCCCTGAACAGCGTTTGGTACATAGAAGGGACTCAGTAAATACTTTAAATACTAGACAAATAGAGTATAATCAGGTGCTCTCAGAGAATCTTGATGCTATTTGTAGGGCTTGTGGGTAGTAGTAATCCTATTCACAGGTAGGTTTATTGAGAGTCAAAAGTCAAGGTCTGGTTTATATCACAAGTAAACCTTGCATCTCCCCTTTCCCTGGGCTCATCCCGGTTGCAGGCAATAGTGCCCAGTGGTTGGGTCTGTGCCATCTTGTTTCAGAGAATAGACAGAGGCTGTGCCCGAGGCTTCAGTTTAGCCACAAGGAAGGACAGTCTAGACAGTAATAGGAGTCAGTCAACAGCTATATTTGAGCATGTATTTAACTGGACGAAGATTGTTTCAGGCAGAGGGAAGAGCAAGGGTGGTGTATTGGTCAGGGTTCAATCAGGAAGAGAAACCACACCAATAATTTGAACAGGGGGAGTTTGGTGCAAAATCTTGGTAACTAGTCAGGTGATTAACTACCTAAAGTGATAAAAGAGAACTTTAAGGGATCTGGAAGTAGCAGTTGCAGAAAGCAACTTCTGCCTCCAGGGCTGAGGGAGCATGAACATGGATGGAGGGACTGGATGCTACAGGAACATGTAGCCTGTGGGGATGAAAAAACCTGCCAGAGGGTGACAAGCTTGGGTCAGAGCTAATCTGGAGAAGTAGAGTAATTTGCCAGAGAGTGCAGGTGGAGCCAGTCCATAGGGCTAGTTAGGTGAGTGCTCCCAAGTCTCTCAAATACCAGAGAATTGGCTGCTGCACCAAGAAATAGCACATTGGAAGCAATTCCCTTCCTTCTACTAGTGCTTCCTAGTGTCCTTCCAGTATTACCTATTTTATCTAATGACAAATCCTAACATCAAGCCATCTGGCAAAGGAGAAATGTTTATAGGGTCCAACCCCAGTATCACAAAGCCAAGCAAAAAAAAAAAAAAAAAAGAGAGAGAGAGAGAGAGAGAGAGAGGCAATGCATTGATAACCGGCACAGTCTACATTTTTGGCAACTCAGCTTCCATATGTATCCTCCTCCACACATTTGAACTTCCAAACAACAATGAAACAACTCTGTTCCCACCCAACAAACTGTAGCTGTCCTTTGTACAAGGAAGAAATGCTTACACTTTCTCCAAAATGGAGACACTCAAAATAGACATTATACCCATTGCTGACTGTATTCAATACTTTCAAATTCAGTCACAGTTCCATTGAAAATTTTGTTACCTAATGGTTCAATTATAAAATTAATTTTCAACAACTTGTGTATATAAGATGATAAGGGAAAGAATAAGAGAGAAGAAAATTGTTACAATTTACAAATAAATATATACACAAAAAAATATGCGAAACTAGTACAATCCTTGTAACTGGTCACAAAGTCATAGTTGATATTTCTCCCTTCTTTACTCAATTTTTTCTTTGTCCTGAGCCAGAAATTTAAGTGGTTGGGTGTTCTCATCCTGATAGGGTGACCCAAACTGTCATTTCTGAAGTATCTGACTCTTCAAGAGTCTTGAATTTTTCTTTTGTTTGTCTGTTATAGTTTTCAACTAACCTTTACTATTGGGCATGGGGAGTGTTCTGGGTTCCAGAAAAAGTCTTCTTTGTCCCCCCACTGTGTAGGGACAACTCAATTTCCCATTGACAATTGTGATCAATCACTCCAGCCTATAGAGTAACTCTTTTTTTCCCTTGCCTGTTGGTTCAGCATAAGGAGCCCCAAATAGCCAAGTGGCAGTCTCATCTTCCAAATCAATGGGACCATTGTGTCCTTTGAGAGAAGCATTTCTTCATTGGGATCTAAGACCTCCAAACCAGAAGAGCTCATGTTTGCTGGATGGGAAGTGAAAAATTCTGCCAATGTTTTTTTAGGTATAATAGTGAGAGGAGCTTCTCTCATTTCCACCCTTTGATTCAGAGGGTACATATATTCTGCCTGTGTGAGAGATAGCACTAAATAATGGTCTCTGATTCAAAGCATATACTGCAGCCTGTTAGAAGCTTGAGGGTGCTGTCTTACAATTGATTCTGTAACTGAGTGTTCAGTAAGCCATTCCACCTTTCAATTCAGCCAGCTGCTTCTGGGTGTTGGGGTATTGTGAGAAGATTCCATGGCATGAGCCTATTGCTACTTCCTTTGCTGTAAAATTAGTTCTTTGATCAGACACAATTTTGTGAGGCATTTATCTATCACCCAAGCACCATGAGCCCCCACTCTGACTGGTGGGACACACTGGTGGTTCAGATTCTTAGGAATTAATGTCAATTCAGAGCCTATGTCTACTGATCCCTTAGTAGTCTGGGTATTTCCTTTTCTCCAGTACCCAGCCACTCTAGTAAATGGTTATAGATATCTTCAGGGAAGTCTTAGAGGAATGGTTACTGTATATACTCGTGGCCATTCTGCAGAGTGTCTCTCCTTCAACCAAGGGTCTCTGGATCTGTGAACTGGCTTAGGACTGGAAACTGGATGAGAGGTCATGAGTCTCCATTGCAGTGACTCAAACCAGATCTTTAACCAACAGAACTAGAAGTTCTAGATGCAGGTTGCAAACTTTTTCTGACAAAAACCAAAGAGTAAAAATTTAAACCTTGCAGGCCAAACAGTCTCTGTCACAACTCCTCAACTCTCCTGGTATAGTAGGAAAGCTACCATAGACAATATGTAAACAAATGGGTGTAGTTGTGTTCCAATAAAACTTTAGTTATACAAATAGGTAGAGGGCTGGATTTGGTTCAGAGGTCGTAGTTGACTCTTACCATAGATCTAGCAATATTTTATAGGTGATTTCTTTTATTACTCTATGATCAGTTAACCACCACTTGGCCAAAGCATTCTGATTACCTTTGTTCCTGCTGCCCTTTTAATGTGTTCACCTTGTCAGGCAGTTATATGCTGCCTCTTGGCTTTTGTTACTCTGAAATTCCATTAATCCTGTTGAAATCAGTGTAGCATCCGCTATGGCC